AAATCAAGGATTCTGAGAGGAGCGTTGGCGTTATTTTGCTGCCGAGAGCGAGCGGGCAGAGTGCCAGAGAGAGAGAGAGAGCAAACGAGGCTCAAACGCGTGCTGAAGGGCGGTGGGCTTGGCGAGGACTCGGAGCCAGATCCACTGACGACGTAGCTGCAGCAGCCGAAGCTGGCCGAGGCGGTGTACACTACAGGGCACAATAATTCAGCAAACCAGTACGCCCTGAGCTTTGCACGGGCATCTGCAAGGGCGAACGCCCAATTGCTATGAATACAAGCGGAGGGCAGGCCGCCGTACGCGCAATTCGGGACAAGTCGAAGTCAGAGCTGCAGCAGATCAAGCGGAAATGGTTGGAGCCTTCGTTTCACGCGCGGAAGACAGGGCATCATGTTGTTGCTCCCAGTCGCAGAGGGCATGTCGCTGAGAGCCACGGACAACAGAGGCGTGGATTTCAATAGTTTCACGATCTGTAAGGGCGTGCAGTGCACAGCGAGGGCGCATACCCTTCAAGAGAAAAGCATCTCTCGTGTGCGGGCGGGCGCTGATGCCGAGCTCGTGTTGAGCCACTCGCCGCAGGTTCTGTTCGAGGAGGTGGTTGGCCAAACGATTCCAACGTACCCAGGCCGTCCAGAGTCCAGAGTAGCGGTTCCAGTTGAAATTGGGTTTGCAGTCGTGGTTTCTTGACAGAGAGAAGAACATCGTTCCAGACCTCAGTTCCACAGTGCACGCAGCGACGGTGAGGACGCTGGAGAGCACAATCGCAGACGTCGGCTCTTTCGAGGATATCCCGAACACGGAGTCCCAGATGAGCCAGTCAAGCGCGAGTTCACCCGGCAGACTTTGCAGAAGAGGCGCGGGGATTGGTCGGATTTGGGCCTGAGGAACTCGACGTGGGAGTGCGGGCTGTGCTTGGAGTTGCTGTCAGGGGACATCTTCGCCAACCCGCAGGCGGGGATCAGTTGGCGGGCAGGGCGATCACGAGCGGCATTCTCTGCGCCAGAGGCCGCACCCGGCTCGCCCGACGGCGTGCGCGGACGCGCGCGGGCGCAGCCTGCGCCGTTGGCCCACGGGCGCGGCCTTCCCCGCGCGGCTCCGAGCGCTCCGCGAGAACAGGGGGCGCGTGCGGATCGATCCTTCCTCGCCGAGCGCGTTCCTCCGCCCGCAAAGTGCCTGCTCGCAGACGCCCGAAGCACCGAATGCTCGTTTCCACGCCGCTCCTCGCAGCTTCCCCGCGGCGGGCCCGGGCCAATTTTGCGAGCAGCTCTTCTGCGAATCGCGGCGCGCGCTCGTGTATTTTTTCGGTGTGTCGAGCGTGCGAACCAGCCGTGCAGACGAGGCTGCCGTGCGCGAGCCTGCCGTGTGCGCGGATCGGCAGCGCGCCAGCCTCAGCGGCAGGGCGCGCGGGCGGCGGGGCAGCGGCGCCGCGCGCGGAGCCGCCGCCGCGCCCCGAGGGAGGTGGGCAGCGGCCCTGGCATCGGGAGCCTCGAGACGGGGGTCAGTGCAGACGGGGGTCGGCCAGGGCGCCAGATCCTGCAGGATCCTGAGACCCCCTCTGGCTGACCCGGGTCAGCGAGCCGCTCCTGGCCGCGCGGCGGCCGCGCCCATTGGCTGACCTGGGTTTGCGAGGACCTGCGTTACATTTTTTTTTTTTTTTTTTCCTGCATTGCAGTTTTTTTGGTTTCCTGCTGACCCGGGTCTGGATTGACCCGGGTCAGAAGATCCCCGAACTGGGAGTGCGGAGCGTGCCAGTTTTGAGTCCTACAGGGGGAACATTCAAAAATAGTAGAAAATTGTCAGGGGACGTTTTTTTTGTTATTTACTATTTAACGTTTTTGGAGCATTTTTGTGGTATTGTTTTGATTTGTCGTCCAAGATCCCCCTGTAGGGGGACAGGCCGACCTAATGCCAGTTCCCTGCTCGCCCGTGACGCGGAGCGGACACGTCGAAGATGCAGGGGCAGGCATTCCGTGCGACGGCGGAGTTGTAGAAGAGGCCGGCGTCGCGGTCGCGGACCTGCGCGCCGCGCTGCCGCAGGCGAGGCAGCAGCGCAGCGTGACTGCTGACGGCCCGCTCACCCGAGGCTCATGCCCGCCTTCTTTCAGCTCCCGAGATCGCAGAGCTCGCTGGAGGCCTTGCTGAGCTGCCGCATCGCCGAAGGCGGTTGCTGCAGTGCGCGCAGGGGCGGTGTCTTCAGATCCCCGGTCTGGGCTTCGCAGGTATGGCTGTTATATTTCAGGGAGGCGTGATTGGGCCAATCCGGGCGCTTGCCGACGTTGTCTACAAAGTGTGTCGAAGAAGTCCCTCTGGGCCCTTCGTGGGGGGGTCCCAGGAACACGTTGGGAGCTTTTCGGGGCTTCCTGACAGTTTTTCGAAGGGCCCTTGGGGGCCACTCGCGAGGATGTCCAATGTCCACAGCTTCTTTGAGCCTTGTCGGGGAGTCGTGGAGGACACCAACTCGGGGACAGTGTGTTAAAATGAAGCTCTCGCGCGAGACAAACTCATCAATGTAGATGTTGAACTCGCTGGCGAAACCTTCGGGTCTTCGGCTCACCAAAGGCATCCTCCAAACCATGAGATGTTGAAAGGCCCGTTCTGCGACATTTTTTTGGGGGGGGGCACCCGAGACGGTTGGAGATGTAGAGTCATGGGTAGCAGATCGGTTTGCTGCGCTTTCGTTCAGAATGAAGCGTTTTGGAGGCATCTTGTAGGCAGTTTCTTCTGTGGACGCTCTTGGAGGATCCCCTGGACGGCTGAAAACGTAGAACCATTGAAAAGCAGTTTGCCTCGCAACACTTGCGATCAGGACGAAGCGTTTTGTGGGCATCTTGGAGTCAGGTTTTGGGCCTCTCTGGGGGCGTCTTCGAGGCATCTTGGGGGCCTCTCTAGGGCTTCTGGGAGATAGTTTGGGGCCTCTTGGCGGCCTCCCTGGGGCCTGTCCGGGGCCTCTGGGGCATCTTGGGGCCTTATTGGGGTCTCTTGAGAGCCTCTGGGGGCCTCGCTCTAAATTTTATTTGTTTCCCCCCTCTGGGCCCTCTCTTGGGCTCGTCAAGGCGGCCCTCTTGGGCTGTTTTGGGGGCCTCTTGGGACGACATGGGGCCGTCTCGGGCCGTCTTGGAGCGCTCTTCGGGGCCTCTTGGGCCGGTTCGGGGCGATCATGGAGGCCTCTTGGGCCGTCTTGGACGCTGTGGACAGTGTGCAAGCCCAAAGGGCGATTTTTGCCTCTCGGGGCCCTCTTGGGAGGCGGGAGGCTCTTGGGGACATCTTCAGGCGTCGCGGAGGCTTCTAGAGTCGCCTTGGAGCCATCTTGGGCGTCTTGGTGCGATTTTTCGGCGACTCGGGGCCTTCCTCGATCGTCTTGGGGGCCTCCTTGGGTTCAGTTGGCCAGTTTGGGGCCCTTACACGCCTGTTTTGGCCATGGGGGCGACAGGGCTGGCGGGGCGGGTGGGCGCTAGGGGCAGGGGATCGTCCATGGAACCTTGTTCCCCGCACTTCATATTTGGGCGCGCTTTCTGCCTGGAAGTCCACAAACGCAACCTGGTGACAAAAATGAGCGCACCTTGTGCTCGATGCGTCGAGAAGCCTCACTTGATGTTTCGCAGAAAGCGAACGGGCCCGATACAAACAACATGGCACAACACAGCACAAGACAAGACAAGAAAATACAATCCACTCCAATACACTACAACACACCACACCACACCAAACGCAACACAACACAACACACCACGAAGTAACACAACACAGCACAGCACAACAACACACGCCACAGCACAGCACAACACGCTACACCACAACACAACACACACACACACACACACACTCAACACACACACAAAACACAGCATTCAGCACACGACACACGACACACCGCAACGCACAAAGCGCACACCACACACATAGACACACACACACACACACACACACACACACTTTTTTGGTCTGCGGGTCGGGAGCGGACCCCTTCCGGTCAAGAGCTAAACGGGATGCGAGTAGCCCTAACTGGGGAGACAGAGCGCGGGCGGGCACACATAGACAAACACCCACACCGCTGCAAACGCGGTGGCGCACAAGCCTCTGCGCCTCCCGCAGCCCCCCCCCCCGGCCCGAGCCGCCTCCGCCCGCGACGGCCGCGCTTCGCGCGCCCGCGCACGCGGGCCGCGCGGCGCGCCACGCGGCGCGGCGCGCGGCGGCGGCCGCGCCGTGCGGCGGCGGGCGCCGCGGCGGCGGCAGCGCGGCGCGTGCGGCGCCATGGCCGCCGCGGGCGCCGCGGCCGAGGAGGCCTCGGGGCCCGGCGGCGCGGAGGGGGAGGCGGCGGGCGGGCGCGCAGCGGCCGCCGCGGCGGCGGCCGCGCGGGCGGCCGCCGGGGAGCGGTGGGGCCGCGCGGGCGGCAGCGAGCAAGCGGAGTTCGGGTGTGCCCAAAGCTCCGGCGCCGTCCCGCAGCCGTGGTCGTCGTCGTCACTGTCGTCGCCGTCCCTCGCCATGGCCGCCGCTCTTCGGAGGCCTGGAAATCGGCACCAGCACCAGCACAGGGGGTTGCCTCCACAGGGGGAAGATGATCCTAGATTTCGCTGTTGGTGGTAATCTTTCGGCCACCTTGGAAGCCATAATATGACCACCGTCAGCGAGATCGGGATCTTCTTCCCTCCATGGAGGCACACCGCCGATATTGGTGTTGGCGTCAACCTCTAGGCCTCCGAGCTCTCGTCGTCGTTGTCGGCGCATCCGTCGTCCACCTGGACTCGCTTCCGACCCCAGTCACTCGCAGCCAGACGCCCACGTCGAGACGTGCCAGGAAATGAGACGCACATGTGGGGACTGATGCGTCGATTTGTTCAACCGATGGTTTCTCGTCGGGTTCGGCCTCCAGCAATATCAGCCGTCGCAGAAAGGTACAACATAAGTTCTTCAAGCATCGGAGGCGCCTGTTCCAGGGCGGCTGGGAAGTATTTCCCCGACGGTGGCCCGTGGGGGCATCAATTCCCCAGCCGTCCCGGGACAGGCGCCCCCGATGGTGAAATCGTCTATTTTACACCGCTTTTCGTCCGCACGTGCTCGCGTCGTGAAACCAATCGCGACGGTCATTTTCTGTTGGGAGTTTTCGTCGCCCACGCGCAGAAGGGGGGTAGGGGCAGAGGGGAAGGCTTCTTAGAAGCACACCCCTTAGAAGGCGTGGGGCTGCCTTCTAAGAAGCTTGTTGCTGCTGCTTAGAAGCTGTTCCTGGCGTGCTTCTCAGAAGCAGGTGGTTTGCTTCTAAGAAGCTGTTTTTGCTTCTAGAAGCAGTTCCGTGCTTCTAAGAAGTTGCTGGGATGCTTCTAAGGAACGGCGCGCCCCTGGCTTCTTAGACGGGCGGCCAGCGCCTTCTAAGAGGCAGCCGCCCTCTGAGAAGCCTTCCCCCCTCTCCCTACCCCCTTGTGCGCGCCGATAATTTCGGCCTCCCTGGCACGTGACCCGGTCTGGGACCAAAAAAGGTGCTAGGGCGAACGCTTGCCCCGAGACAGGGGTCGGGACATTTGGGGCCGCGCCGTGGAACCATCGCGACTGCATGTTTTGGGTTGTCTTCGGCCTCCTTCGGGGGGCGTGGGGGTCGGTACGATCGAATATGGGTACGGCAAGAGTGGGCACGATGATTCCCAACAGTTCCTGCACGTGTTGAACCAGAGTTGCTGTCGGCGTCGCCGAAGACGTTGTGCATCTGAGACAGGAGGATCGGGACGGGTACGGCAAGAATGGGCACGAAGATCCACAACAGTTCCTGCACATTTTGAACCAGAGTTGCTGTCGGCGTCGCTGCAGACGGTGTGTATCTGAGGCAGGAGGATCGAGATGGGTACGGCGAGAATGGGCACGAATATCGAAGACCCACAACAGTTCCTGCACATTTTGAACCAGAGCTGCTGTCGGCGTCGCCGCAGACGTTGTCTATTTGAGGCAGGACGATCGAGATGGGTACGGCAAGAATGGGCACGAAGACCCACAACAGTTCCTGTCATGTGAACAGGAGCTGCTGTCGGCGTCGCCGCGGGCGTTTTCACTTTGAGACAGAAGGACCGACATGGGTGCGGAAATACTGGTTTCGAAGACCGACAGCAGTTCTTGTTCGCTTTGAAGGGGTGATGAGGTCGACGTCGCCGCGGACGTTTTCTGTCTGAGGCAGAATGCCGCCTGCCCAACAGCGGCCCCTGCCGGCTTCGGACAACATTTGACGCTCGGCATCCTACCAGGGTGTTCCGTACCCACTGCGAGCGTCCAAAGGGCGGCGGGGGGAAGCCCCAAGCAGGCGTGCTGCGACAGGCTCGTGCTGTCGCACCGCACGCCACTGTCGGCAAGCCGTGCACCAGAGGCCACTCTTGCCTAAGGGTCGCTCTTGGCGTGTGTAGGGGCCCACATGCGAACCCTACCCCTACCCCCCACGATTTCTGGGGGGGAGGGTGGGGTAGGGTTTGCATGTAGCCCCCTACAGAGGCCACTCTTGCCTGAGGGGTCGCTCCTGGCGCCTGGCCGAGGAGAGCTCGTGGGAGACCTACCTCGCCTTCCAGGCCGAGCCCGGGCAGCGGTGCCCAGCGGGGGCATGAGGAGATGGCTCTCCTTAACTCCCTCCCTCGCCCTCTCCCTCGCCCTCTTCTCGCTCCCCCCTCCTCCCTCCCTCGCCCTCTCCCTCCCTCGCCCTCTCCCTCCCTCGCCCTCTCCCTCGCCCTCTCCCTCGCCCTCGCCCTCTCCCTCGCCCTCTCCCTCGCCCTCTCCCTCGCCCTCTCCCTCTCCCTCCTCTACTGCCTCCCTCGCCCTATCCCTCGTTCCCGCCTCCCTCCCCTTCATCGGAGATGGAGAATCAGCATGGGCATAAGTTTTCGGAGGTCCGCGCAGACTTCTTGGATCTGCGCCCGGGTTTCCCCGGCGGCGGGCGCCGCCCCATCTCCGGAAGCTTTTGGTCGTGCAGGTGTTTTTTGTTCCCAGCCATCCCGTGGTGTCGGGTTCTCGTTTTGAATGGGAACGCGCTCTGCGCCTTTCCCCCTCCTTCCGCTCCTTGCTCCCTCCTCCCATCCCTGCCTCCATCTGCCTCTGCCCTCCGCCTGTCTGTGTGTTCGGTACAGCCCTCACACGCTTCGTGGGATCTCCAACGAAGGGCTCCCAGCGGCGGGGTCCGCATGGCGCACCCGCGCCCGATTCGGCACACCCCTCACACGCTTTCGCGGCCTCCTAGGGTACTCCTTACGAAGGCCCCAGCGCAGGGTCCGCATGTCCGCATGGCGTGCCCGCACCCGATTCGGCACACCGCTCCCACGCTGCGTGGCCCCCTAGTGGGCTCCTTCCGAAGGCACAGCGGAGGGGTCCGCATGCCTCGCCCGATTCGGCACACCGCTCCCACGCTTCGTGGCCCCCTGGGGGTGTCCCTCCGAAGGCCCCAACGGCAAGGTCCGCATGGCGTGCCTGCTGCACCCGGTTCGGCACATCCCTCGCTCGTGTCGTGGCCCCCTAGGGGGCTCCCTCCGAAGGCCCCAGCGGCAGGGCCCGCACAGCGTATCCGCACCCGATGGGGCACACCCCTCACATGTTTCGTGACCCCCTGGGGGGCTCCTCCGAAGGCCCCAACGGCAGGGTCCCCATAGCGAACCCGCACCTGATTCGGCACACCCCTCACACGTGTCGTGGCCGCCTAGGTGCTTCCCTCCGAGGCCCCAGCGGCTGGGTCCGCATGGCGTGGTCGCGCCTACACGGGCGGTACTATAGTTTTGACCGTATCTGGGAAATCGCAGAGACAAACGCCTCGACAGCCCCCCCCACTCCCTGATGCAAAGCTGAGGAGACCGACGAGAGACGACGGCAACGGACCTCATCGGTGACGTCGTTGCGTCGCTTCGTTGCTCAGCTTTGCATCGCTGGGGGGAAGGGGGCGCGGGCTGCGCGGTCGCCCTGGCGCGGTGACATATTTGGCTACCGCCGCATTGGCGCGCCGTGGTATTTCCGCTTCGGTCGCATCCTGAACGGCGCAATTTGGGGCAGCGCGGTCAGAAACTTTAGCACCGGAAAGTATTTCGGTACGCTCCTCACACGTTTCGTGGCCTCCTCGGGCATTCCCTCCGAAGGCCCCGGCGGCAGGGTCCGCATGGCGTACCCGCACTCGGTTCGGCACACCCCTCACACGATTCGTGGCCCTCTAAGGGGGCTCCATCCGAAGGCCCCAGCGTCAGGGTCCGCATGGCGTACCCGCGCCCGATTCGGCACGCCTCTCACACGTTTCGTGGCCCCCCAAGGGGCTTCTCCGACGGCTCCCAGCGGCGGGTTGCGCATGGCGTGCCCGCGGTCGACTTGGCACACCCCTCGCTCGTTTCGTGGCTGTGGGGGGCTCCTTCCGAAGGCCTCAGCGGCAGGGTCCGCATGGCGTATCCGCAACCGATTTGGCAGACCTGTCACACGTTTCGTGGCTTCTTGGGGGGCTCCCTCCGAAGGCCCCAGCCAGTTGCAGAACAAAATCTTTCTTTTCTTGTCTGAGGGGATGGGAGACTTCAGACTCCCAGTGCCCTTTTGGAGACTATCTTGGAGCCCTCGTGGGACGTTTTCGGGGCCTCGTGGGCCTTCTGGAATGGATCTTCATTGGTCCGCGAGCCTGTGGGGGCTTCTTGGAGGCGTCTTGAGGACGGCCTGGGCCGTCTTGGAGGCCTCGTGAGGGCCTTCGGGGGGCCCGAACCCCCATGCGCCGCGGAGGTCCCTGGGCACAGCCAGGGGGCCTCGCCCCCGTCTTATATGCATATGAGGCACGCGTGGCGTATCCGCACCCGAGTCGGCACTCCCCTCACACGTTTCGTGGCCCATCGGGCACACCCCTCGCTCGTTTCGTGGCCACCTTTAAAAGGTTCCGAAGGCCCCGCCGGCAGTGTCCGCATGGCGTACCCGCATCCGATTTGGCACACCCCTCACACGTTTCGTGGCCCCATTCGGTACACCCCTCCCACGTTTCGTGGCTCCTTAGGGTGTTCCTTCCGAAAGCCCCACACTCGTCGTGGCCCCCTTATGGGGGCTCCTCCGAAGGCCTCAGCGGCGGGGTCCGCATGGCGTACCGCGGCGTACACGCACTCGATTCGGCAAACCTCCTCGCTTCGTGGCGCCAGGCGGGCAGGAACGCAACGCACAATGGAAACAAGAGCGGGCGAAACAGCTGGGAAGGAAATGGGCACAACAACGGCTGCGTTCGGGGTTCGGGCCAAACAAAACATCCACCCGCGAGCCCGTGCCCGCTGTACCTTTCCCACGAGTGCCGCAGTCCTTGTGGTGTCCCCCTCCTCCAATTCACCTTCTTCGCGATGCTCGTTGGTGAATATGGTTGGGTCCGTCGCCGGGCTAATTCCTCTACCTCCGTATCTCCCCCACCCGCCCCCACTTCTCCTTTCCCCGCTTCCTCCTTCTTTCCCCATCCTCCCCCACGTGGTGCTAGCGGTCAGCGTCGTCGAGGGTCCACGGGAGGGGGTGCTTCACGTTGTTGGTCTTTTTTGTGGCTCGGGGTACCCTGGGAGGCGAGGCTGCAAAGTTGCCTTGGTGCTGGGGCCACCATGAAGAAAAGGGGTACCGAGGGAATGGGGTCCAGTAGTTTTCAGGTGTGGAAAAATACAGGCACACATAATTGCCGACTCCCGCGCAAATTTGTTACAACTATGGGGTGTGGGGGGGAACACGAACATCGAGGATGCACAGGATATATGGAACATCTGGGTTTTCTGGGATTTGTATATATATATATATATATATAAATGTATATATATATATAGATTTGTGTGCCCCTGTGCCCCTTCAGTGTTTGACTCCCTGGGCCTTTCCCAGGTCCCAGGGCTGTCAACTGCCCTGGCGCGACGGGCCCAGCCACGTACCATCTGCAGGCGTGAACACCGCAGGGCGGGCAGGCGGGGCGAGGCTTCGCCGAGGTACAAGATCGAGGTCGCTTCGGGGAGGGTGCCCTGATGTTTGTTTGTGATTGCCGGATGTTCTCGTACATCCTGGGCGAGGGTGCCCTCGAGTGTTTTCAGTGCGGCCAACTGAGGGTCTCACGTTCATGGGTCGGGCCGGACGAGGGGGGGGGGATTGGGAAAGGAGGGGTTACGAAATCTGCTGCGGGCAGCTGGTTTCGGCCCCACCGAGGGGCCCGTTCCTCGATGCATAGCCGCCTCCGGCGCCGGGAGGCGCGGGGAAAATCAGCTACGTGAGCTGATTCTCCCCCCCCCCCCCCTTCTGCTATCCCCCCATTTCGCCTGGCCCGAATGGAGGATGCTCTTCTGTCCTAGGCCTGGCCGTATGGGGCCAAACAGTTTATGAGGGGTGTGCCCAAATGGGAAGGTGCCGCCATGCGGACGCTGGCACGTGTGCCGACATGGGGCGGCGCCGCCATGCGAACCTTGCCACTGGGGCCTTCGGTGGTGCTCCGTGTGGGCCAATGAAGTGTGTGATGGGTGTGCGAAATGAGGCGGCGGCACCCTGCGACTGGGGCCTTGACTCGATCTCCCTGTGAGGCCACAAAACGTGTCAGGGGTGTGCAGACACGATGATGGGGCCGCCGTGCGAAGCCTGCCATTGGGGCCTTCGGTGGATCGCCCTGTGGGGCCATGTGATGGGTGTTCTGACATGGATGCGGGGCCACCACGCGTACCTTGCCATGTGGACCTTCCGTCGAGCTCCTTAGTTTTGGGGCCACGAAACATGTGAGTGGTGTGCCGAAAGGCGAGGCGGGGCCGCCATGCGAACCCTGGAATTTGGAAATTCGGTGGAGATCTCTATGGGGCCACGAAGCGTGAGAACGGTGTGCCGAAATTCGAGGCGGGACCTCACGTGAACCCCGAAATTTGGGACTTAGTTGGAGCTCCCTATGGGACCACGAAACGCGTGAGGGGTGCTCTGAAATGAAAGTCGGGAACTCACACGAACCCGTGCACCGAAATGAGTGACGGGAACTCATGTGATCCCAATGCAAAGCAAGGCAAACCAAAGCAGATCAATGCAAAGCAGCGCAAAACAATGGCATGCAATACAAAGCAATGCAAACCAACGCAATGTAATGCAAAGCAAAGCAAAGCAATTTGATTCAAAGCAATGCAAGGCGATGCAATGCGATGCAATGCGATGCAAGGCAATGCAAAGCAATGCAAAGGCAAATCAACGCGGCGACGGGCGTCGACGTGCCAGTCGGACCGCCACTGAGACCCAGCGGCGACGGCGGCGACAGGCGGCGACGTGAGGCGACGAGCTGGCCGGACCGTCACTGGGGCCCAGCAGCGATGGCGTCGACCGGACGGGAGGCGACGAGCCGGCTAGACCGCCACCTGGGCCCAGATATCTTAGAGGACAAGTAAGAAGCTCAAGTGCAATCATTATTTGGGGAATATAGCGGACGCCGATCACTGGCTATGTCGGAAGAATTGTTTTGATGTCTCTAGGTAGGTTGGTAATGATATCGACAGGTACATCGAGATCGATTGGTGTTGTGGACGTGGGGTCGATGAATGGTCTTCGTGATGCCGATCGGTAAGAATATCGATAAACATTCAGATATGAGATCGCTAGATGGATCGCAAATCCGATCCCACACCCATCGCAGACCGCAAGGTGCACCCATCCCCCCACCCAACCTCTCTATCACCTGAATGGTGATCCGATGGGTGCATCTGTCATGTATGTACGTGTGTATGTATCGATACCCCATGCATGCTGGGGTCCTGGAATAGTCGGCCCCCAACGTTGTGGACATGCACAGACGCTGGCCTCGTGAGCATCAGGGCTCTGCCGGTGGGGCACTGCGCAAGCGACGCCCTCTCCGGCCAGCTGCACGCGCGAGGGACCCCGAGCACGAGCGACTCCTGGTGCGCGGCTCTCCAGGGGGGCGCGGGCGGGGCACCCCCGTGGCACGCAGTGGCCGCTGCCATCGCATCGCTTTCGGCGAGCCTCGGCGGTGGGAGGCCCCCAGGCTTGACGAGCGAACAACACACACCCACCCATACCCATAGGGAAGTCGTTGGGAGGAGGACTGGCTATGGGTATGGGGGCGGGTTGTCGGACCCTGGGGAGCGCTCCCGTTCGAGCGGGGACCCCCATCCGACAACATGCACCCATAGCCTTCTCCGATCCCCCTATCGGTATGGGTGTGCGTGTTGTCGGTTCGCCACCAGTGGGCCCGCACCGATTTCTCTCCGGCGAAGGGCCACTCTTCGCGTGTACGGCAGGCTCGCGCCGCGTCGAGTGGCGGCGGCCCCGCCGCCGGCGTCCCACGCGGAACGCCAGCGGCGGCCTGGAGTTGGCCGGCGCTGAACGATCGGACTCCTGGGAAACGCTCGTCGCAGAAGAACAGAAACACCGCGAACATAGATTTTTGGCGCTCCGCGCGGATGTCGTGGATCCGCGCGGAGCGCAGAGAGCGGATGCTCGTGCCGGTTTCTCTTCCGATTCGATCTTTCGAGGTGGAGCGACTCCCGCGATGTGAGGAACCAGCGCCAAGGTCGGCGCGGCTCAGGTCCAGGGAGACACGTGCGCCGCTCCTGGAGGAGGAGAAGGGAGGAGGAGGAGGAGGAGGAGGAGGAGGGGGAGGAGGGAGGAGGAGGAGAGGGAGGAGGGGAGGAGAGGGAGGAGCCCGGAGGAGGAGGAGGAGCGGGCGGAAACTGCCTGAGCTGCTGCTGCGCCGGCCTGCCGCCCGTGCGCCTCGAGGGGCTGCGCGTCTGCCTGGTGATGCACCCGCGCGAGATCGGCCAGTAGGGGGCCGCATGCGAGCCCTACCCCTGCCCCCCCTACGATTTCTGAGGGGGAGGGCGGGGTTCACTCCGCTTGGGCGCTCCCGAAGGAAGGTGAACCCCACCCTCCTCCTCGGGAATCGTGGGGGGGAGGGGCAGGGTTCGCCTGTGGCCCCCTCGCCAGCATCGCGGCAGCAACACCGCGAAGCTGCTGCTGCGCTGGGGCGCCGAGCCCGCCGTGGTCCGTGGGCCGGCGTTCGAGCGAGAGGTCGCCTGCAGTTGTGGAGGACGATCCGTGGAGACGGAGCAGGTTGCCGAGTAATTCCTCCCAGATGTTTAAAATTTGTGGTAAACATTGTTAAAACATGTCAAACACATGTTTTAAACATGTTTAGAACCAGTTCCCGACATTTTAGACACATTTTAAATTCAATGATAGGACTGCTAGGGTGTCCATTGTCGTGCCATCCAAAAGACTACAACATGGATTTACGCCGACACTGATGTTTCGTCGGGCCTACAAAACACATGCAGACTTCTGGTGGAGTGACGAACATGTTACGCCTTTGCGTTCGTAGCTTCGATACAGATTAAGTTGTTTTTTGCAGTAGCAGACGAGTTCCGACTCGAGCCCTACAGTCAAAAAGTTGCATCGAGGGCCATTTGTGCCTCAGTGGAGGCCAAGGGCAAAGCCAGGGAGCAGAAACCCAGGGGGGACGTGCCGACCCCCAGTCGCCCATGCATCGTTGATGGGGGCTCAATACGCCCTGCCCGGGAACGTGCGGACTCGCTCTCAGGGGCCCAGTGCCGATTTATCGTCGATGTCGCCGATTCCAAGTCGACGTTCCCCCCCCCCCCCCTCCCCCTGGGTCGGGCCCCCCATATCGTTGCCCTTCTTGTTCCTCTGATCTGCGACCAGTTGCGAAAACTGCCCCCGCGAGTCGCATCGGCGCCAAGCTGCCTGTCTGACTCTTGGGGTCTGTCCCAGGCGCCCTCCTGAGCCGAGCCCAGCCGCGGCGCAATATGAGCAGGACCACTTGCGAACCAGAACATCTGCGGCCACTTGCGAACCCTACGCCAACGGGTACCATCGACGCTGGGGTGTCAGACACCCCCGCTGTGGTCCACTTGGCTCCAGATATCCCTCAGATTCTGAACCCTAGCTGCTTTTTCAGAAGTCTGACATGCACGGGCACCCATCGCATTTGGTTGCTTGAGAAGAGGCGCCCCGAAGTCTTCGCAAACCTCGCGCAGAGCTCCATTTGCGGGGCCTCTATTGACCTGCTGCCCTCGCAGGGCCAGGAAAATGGGACGTGGAAGTGAAAGCGGAGTGTGAAAAAGAGCATGAGAGGGATGACGACGACGATGATGATGATGATGATGATGATGATGATGATGATGATGATGCTGCTGCTGCTGCTGCTGCTGCTGATGATGATGATGATGATGATGATGATGATGATGAGGATGATGATGATGATGATGATGATGATTGTGATGATGGTGATGCTGATGGTACTGATGATGCTGATGATGCTGATGATACTGATAATGATAATGGTGATGATGATGCTGCTGGTGATGATGGTGGTTTCGATGATGCGGTTGATGTTGTAATGAGGATGATAATTGTGATGCTGAGGATGAACGTGATGGTCATGATGATTATGCGATTGATGATAGTTATGCTTCTGGCGATGATGATGATGATGATGATGATGATGACTATGCTGATGATGATGTTAATGATGATGGTGATGATGAGGGAGATGAGGAGGATACGGATGAGGATGACGGTGAGGATGATGATTAGGATGATGAGGGTGATGTCGATGATGATGATCCATATTATTACGATTCGGATGAGTGTGATAATGATGACGAATCTGATGATGTTTGATGATGCTTGGTAATGATGGTGATTCTGATGGTGAACTCTGTTCATGTGATGTGATGGTGATTGTGATATTGATGGTTAGGGTGATGATAGTGACGACGCGGACCACGATTATGTTGATGATGACGGTGATGCTGATACTGGTGACGGCGTCTTTGATACTGATGATGGCGAAGAGCATGATGATCATGGTGAGCACGATGATCCTGATCACGATCGTCATCGTGATCATGGTGTTGGGCATTGTGGTGATGATCACGATGGTGTTGTTGGCACTGGTGGTGGTGATGATGAGGATGATGATGATGGTGATGATGACAATGTTGATGATGTTGACGATTATGCTAATGATGAGATGATGATGACGATGATGATAATGATGCTATTGATGATGAGGATGATGATGTCAATGTTGGTGATACTGACGATGCTGATGATAATGATGACGACGACGATGACGATGATGATGATGATGATGATGATGATGATGATGATGATGATGATGCTGATGATGATGATGATGATGATGATGATGGTGATTCTGATGATGATGATGATGCTGATGATGATGATGCTGATGATGAAAATGATGATGATGATGATGATGATGATGATGATGATGATGATGATGATGATGATGATGATGATGATGATGATGATGATGATGATGACGAGGGTGATGCTGCTGCTGCTGTTGATGCTTGTGGTGATGATGCTGGTGGCTTTGGTGATTGTGCAGGTGATTGTGGTGGTTTCGTTGGTCTTGATGGGAGGAGAGAAACAGGCTGGACGAGGACCTGAACTCGAGACCTCAGAGAACGACTCGGGGGTGGCCAACGGACCACGGGCCGAGCTGTTCGTGTGGGGGCACCCGGAGCACGACGACCGGCTCCGCGGGCTGGTCGCGGAGCACCTCGGCCGCTCGGCGGTTCTGTTCCCCGCGAGCGACGCGGCGCCCGCCGAGGGCCTCTTCCGCGCGGACGCCGCCGCCGATCGGTCGAGCGATCGCGGGATCGAGGGTCGGGAGGAGGAGGAGGAGGAGGAGGAGGAGGAGGAGGAGGACGCCGTCGCCGATCGGTCGAGCGATCGAGGGTCGAGGGTCGAGGGTCGAGGGTCGAGGATTGTTTTGATGTTCTCTTGTAACCTGCAGAGTAGGAACAGGTACCGATGCCGCTACCTTTGCTTCGTTGTCGCCTCTTTGGAGCTCGGGGGGGGCCTTCGTCGCCACCGCTGGATTCGCCTCGAAATTCTGGTCAGAACGCACCCCGGGAGGTCCGGGGAGTGGCGGTATTATTAAAACCGTTCGATTTCCCCAGATCAGGCATTGCATTTTTTTCGCACCTGGCGCTTGTGCCAAGTTTCGGGCCCCAGGAGCATGCCAGATCGATCCGCCGGATCGAGGAGCGTGCAGCAAGATGGGGTCTGGAGATCGGGTCGTGATAGGTTACAATGTTTCAGTCGGCCCAGACTAGTAGGTCGACCCTGACAAATCAAGGGTACCCTGGTGTCCTGTGTCTCGCGACCCATACTTCCTACCTTCCTGTGGCAATGTGGCCCTCGGAAGGGTCTCGTGTCCTCTCGCGTGTCCTGTCCAATCGAGTCCGCCTGTATAAGATGCTCGCAACCTGAGATCTGAGGGCTTCATTCTGACATGTTTCGGGCCCCTGTGAGTGCCGACTGGACGTAAGAATGAGGACCCTTCGCCGGAGTGATCTCTGGTGCGGGCCCACCGGGGTCTCCCCCGATCGTTATCGCGCGAAGCGGTACAGTCCACCCGCATAGTAAAGATGAGTCATTTTCCAGGGTTGCACTTGCATCTTTGCCCCTCCGTCCCATCGGCGGCCGCTTTCTGCTGGCCAGCCCCGTGCGAAAACGCCAACATGGCCCCCGCAGGCCCTTGCGCGCTCACCGCGCAGCCTTGTAGTCCGGCTTCACGGCAGAAGCGGCCTGCGCGCCCAGGGTTGGCCACCCCGCGTCCCCGTTACGCCGCGCACCAAAGGTCATTCTTGCCTGCAGTGCCGTTTTTAATCCATGCTCCGCGTGCGGAGCATGTATTAAACATGCAGGGATGTCGTATTAAAAACAACGATGAGTTCATGCATAAATGTATTCATGCATTGATCATGTATTAAAAATCATTTTTTAAAAAATCCCATGTGTTAAAAACTGCCCTGTAGGGTCACTCGTGCGTGTAGGTGATGGTGGCCTCCCGAGGGCCCTTGCCATCCAGGGCTTCCCCTGCGGAGGCCTCCCTGGACTCCGCAGACCTCCGCACGTCCTCGCCGGGCGGCGTCGCTGGGGACCTCTGCGGAGGCGGAGGCCCTGGATGGTTGGAGGGGACACTGCAGCAGTTTTTGCCAATCGTCCTGCGGTGTTGGGTCCACGGCTTGAGGAGAGAGTACCACGCGTCCTCTCCTCTCCTCCTCGCCCCTCCTACCCATCCTCCCATGCATGTCTCTGCCCTCCACACCCAGTACAGCGCTTCGTGGCCCCGTAGGGAGCTCCACCGAAGGCCCCAGGGTCTGTGACCACATGCGTCCCGCGCCACCCATCACGGCGCTTCGTGGCCCCATAGGGAGCTCCACCGAAGGCCCCAGGGGCTGTGACCACATGCATCCCGCGCTACCCAGCACGGCGTTTCGTATGGAGCTCCACCGAAGGCTCCAGAGGCTGTGGCCACATGCGCCCCGCGCCAACCAGCACGACGTCTCGTGGCCCCGTGGGGAGCGCCACCGAAGGCCCCGGGGGCCGTGACCTCTTGCGTCCGGCGCCACCCGGTACGGCGCTTCGTGGCCCCAGAAGGAGCTCCACCGAGGCCCCACTGGCTGTGATCACATGCGTCTCCCCCCAACGCATGTGCGCGGTGCTAAGGCGAGAGCCACATTTTGAAGACCACTCGCCCTCAATCCGTGAAGCGCCAGCAAATTTTGAAAACGAATGTGCGCCGCGCTACGGCGAGAGCCACATTTTGAAAACCACCCGCCCTTAATCCGTGAAGCTCTTGCAAATTCTTAAAACCAAAGTGCGCCGCACTGAGGCGAGAGCCACATTTTCAAAGTCTTGCACATTTTAACACGAATGTGCGCCGCGCTTAGTCGAGAGCCACATTTTGAAAACGACTCGCCCTCCATCTCCTCCATCTGTGAAACTGTTGCCAATTTGTAAGCTTCAGAATGCCCCTCACGCGCTTCGTGGTCCCATACGGAGCTCCACCGAAGGCCCCAGTGGCGACGTGCGCATGCGTCCTCCCCCCGTCCATGTCGGCATATCCCTCGCGCGTTTCGTGGCCCCATAGGGGAACTCCACCGAATGCCCCAGTGGCGACGTTCGCGTGGCGGCCCTGGTCCACGTCGGCACGCCCCTCACACGTTTCGTGGCCCCATCTGGAGCACCACCGAAGGCCCCAGTGGCGACGTTCGCATTCCCCGCCCCACTTCGGCACACCCTCTGCACGCTTCGCGAGGCGATGCCCGCACCAGCGATGCTCACGACTGCAAGTGATTGGGCCCTTCGCCAAGATAATGTTGGTGCAAGGGACGTTTTCGCGCTCCCGCCGGGGAGCGCTTCCCGCGCCTCGTGTTCGCCCTGACGTCCTGGTGAGAACGCACTCAGGGAGGTCCAGAGAATATTACCAGCCTCGAACGTGTCCCTATCCCTAAGATTGACACGCCAAAAGGCGATGACAATCTTAGGGATTCGCCCTCCAAAACTAAGGGAATCCCTAAGATTGGCATCGTGATGAGGAGGTGCCCAGCATAGGGATAGGGATATGTTCCAGGCTGGTAAGAATAGCGTATCGGTGTACCTTTGGGTTTCCCCATCTTCAGCCACAGGCTTGCGACGGCATGCAAGGGTAATGGCGGCAATGAGCTTATCGAGGGCAGACAACATTTGGCCTTCGGAGACCTTCCGGGTCCTCGGGGAGCTCTGGGCGTCTTTGTCGGTCTGTGTCGCCCCGTCGTCCCTAGGCCACCAGGGAGAGAAGCCTTCGTTGCCGATAGCTCGCCGCCCGCTCAGGACAGGCCGTCCCCCGCATTGGTGGTGGTGCTGGACGGGCGCTGGAAGGACACGCGCAGGATGAACCACGGTATCGACTGCCGGGTACCCAGGTGCTGTGTGACATCAACCAAAACCTTCTTTCTCGCGATGACGGACGTGACGGGAGGGTGGGGAGGGGCGAGGAGGCCGCGAACGTCACGATTCAGGCCAGCGCCGCCTTGGAGCTAGCGCCCCCTGGCCGTTCTCGGATCCCAGATGGCGCCGGCGCGAATCGTGACGTCACCGCGGGTCGGGGGCCAGGGGGGAGGGGGGCGCCCCTGGCAACGGGCGTTGTCGCGAGTCGTCAAAAAGCGCGCTCCCGTACGCCCACGCCGACCCCTGCAGGACCAGCCCGCGGCCCGGGATCGGCGCGGGCGTAGGCCGTGCTGACCAAGCCAGGATGGCGCACAGCAGGCGCATCAGGTGTGCAATCGGTCTGCCAGCAGCAGAGGCCCACGGAATTTTCTTATCACACCCGCCAGGGGAAGCCCCCACCCCTGAACGTCCTGAATTTTTCGCATGCACTACCTCCCTCTTCCTTGCTCGGCCTCTCTCTCTCTCTCTCTCTCTCTCTCTCCTTGCTCGGCCTCTCTCTCTCTCTCTCGCTCTCTCTTTCAGTTTTTGTTCCCTCCTTTCTTTCCTTATCTTTCTTTCTTTCGGTCGATCACCAAATTTATCCGTAAGGGCTTCGACCATTGCCGCGGGCCCCCGCTCTCTCTTAGAATGGGGCATGCCAGACTTAAGTTGGGATGCAAGGGCATCGTCCTGAAGCAGTGTCGGGACTTCACGCGAGGGCCAATCTCGTACGTTACGGCTTGCACAGCAACATTGAACAACAACATTTCTGAAACTCGGACAGCTCGCACTGCGAACTTGCTGACGATCGTGGCTCGGGGACGAACATCGCGTAATTGAATAGTGGTCGTGGCCTTCGGGGGCGCGAATGCAGCGTAATTAGTAGAACGGTCGTGGCCTCGAGGACGCGGATATTTGCAGTCTACCAGGGAACATGGCCGCGGTGACGCAAACATAGTATACAGTGGGGGCCCATGACGCACCTTGCTCGCCTCCAGGGTGCCCTTGGTTTCTTGGGCTTCGATGGTTTTGCCATGGAAAGCGTCACATTCCCGCACCAAGAATGAATGGACGCCCTGGGGTCTCAGGGTTAGATTTCTTGTGGAAGGTTCCTTGTGGACTGGCCTCCGCTGTATATGTATTTGTTCAAGGTCGACCCTCCATGCCTTCACTCCTATGCCTGGCCATGGCTTGCCCCAGGATGCGTTTTTTTCCCTCCTCCGTCCCTCGCTGTCCGCTCCTCCCGATCTTTCTCTTGCTCTTCGTCTTCCTCCGTGTTCCGTTCCACATCGGCGCCACCCCAACATAACCAATACTATGTGTAAATCGAGCATGTCCCTCTACAGGAGGAATATTCGAACATAGACACAAAATAGTCAGGGGACGATGGTTCGACTACTTTTGACTATTTCCTGTTTCTTGTTCGACTATTTTCGATTGTTCGTCCAAAGCTCGCCTGTAGGAGGCATGTCCGACCTAATACTGCTACCATGTGTGCGTCGCCCCGCCAGGGGCGACGCGCGCACCGAGAAATCTTACAGTGTATACGTCGTGGCGGACACTCTCTGGCCGCACTGCTCGGGAGGCGATCCACTACAGGGTGGGTACGTTCGGGTCAGACGCGCGCCTCCAAGGAGAGCATGTATGCCTTTGTGCGCCCCGTCCGTGCTCCGGTCCACATCATCCTTCTGTGTCTTCTCCCCCTCGGAGCGGATGCTGGGTCGGATGGGCCAACTAGCTCCACCCCGCGCCGGAATTTCTCTCGAAGAGCTCTACGAGGTACTATCTGCGCTCTACAAGTTTTAGATAGACAATGCTGGTTTTCTTTAGTTACTTCGGGCCGTAGGCAAGCTACAGGGCGGGGAAGAAGGAGGACGGACGGAGGCGGGAACAGGACAATCGAGGGAGGACGTTCGCTGCGGCGCTCTTGGCCTCCTCCAGCGCCTCCGGAAGCCTCTGCGACCTCGGCCCTCCAGCGAGGCTCCAGCGAGCGTGCCAGGCTCCCTGCTGACGTGATCGTGGAGACCCTCTTGGGCCATCCTGGGCCCACTTCATGGCATCCTGGGCGATCCGGCAGCCTTCCTGTACCAGGTTCGGGGGAATCTGAAAAAGGAGAGCAGTTTGCCCCTTTCTTTCTCAAGCTGCTGCCAGGCACATCCAACGACCGTGCCTGGTTTGCGTGTCAGAGGCTTCTTGGACATCTGTATGGGTCTTTGGGGATGGCTCTTGGAGACTTCTTGGACACAGTTTTGAACCCTCTTGGGGCTCTTGCGATCCTCTTTCGGCCATCGTTTAAGTCTCTTGGGAGCCGCTTAGTGCCTCCTAACGGCCTATTCGAGACCTTGTGGGTCATCTTGGGCCAGGTGACTCGGAATGTCAGCTCGGGTTCCCTCTCTCAGGCCCTCTTCTTCGGGCCCTCTTGGGCCATCAGCGCGACCTCTTGCGCCGTCCTGGGGCCTCCCTGGGCCGTCTGGGAGCCCTCTTGGGCCAGCTTGGCGCTGCTCTGGGGCGTCTCCAGGAGGCGCCTCGGGCCGTCTTGGGCCAACCACGAGATCGGGAACTCGGGAACCCTGCGACCGCTGTGAACTCCAGACCAGGCGCAGGGCGCCGGGGCACCTGGCCGCCCGCCGAGGTCTGCCCTGGAACGGGGAGAACCCAACACCTGCAGCCTGGGAACCCAGACGTACGGGACGGGAAAAGACCACAGCCATTGCTTTTCTTCTGTCGCCGCCTTCCAGCCAGCAGAAACAAAGCAGTGGCTGTGGTCATTTTCGTTAGGCTTGGCACCAGGGAAATGGCCACAGCCGCTGCTTCTATTTCGGCCGGCTGGGAGGCGGCGCAGGCAAGAAGCAGTGGCTGTGGTCATGTTCCCGTCCCGCAAGACGCCCACCCTTTGCACCTCCGCCGACCCTTCCATCGTCGCCAGGGCCCCCCTCCAGTGCAGGCATCGGCGGGGGAGTCACCCGACACGGCCGCAGGGGGCCTTCAGAGGCGCTGGGGCGCTTGAAGACCGTTGGGAGGTCGGCGGCGAGGGTGCCTCAAGACATCGACGTTCTGGGTAAGTCGGGCCTGTCCCTCTCCAGGAGGACTATTCAAAAACGGTCAAAACATAGTGAGGGGACGATTTTTGGAGTATTTTTGAAGACTTTGCGTGTGTGTGTGTGTTTTGTTCGTTCCTCCAAAATCCGCCTGTAGGAGGACATGCCCGACCTAACGTTCTGGCGGAGCGCGTGCTCGGATGCGCCGGGCTGTGTACGCAGACCCTGCGCCCAGGACGGGCCTCCGTCGGATTTGGGCAGCGGCGACGGCGGCGGCGAGAGGTGCCGCGTGACGGTCACCCGCGCGGAGTTCGGCAGCACCCGAAAATACCGAGCGTTCGAGAAGCCAGAGCGGGTGGAGACGGCGGCTGCCTTCATCGCTCTGGTGAAGGACCTCGGCCAGGATCTTCGCGGGTGAGCAGAGCAGTCTCGTCTAGCCCATCCCCATGTCCCCATTGGGCCATGGCACCTCAGCGCCACCATCCCGCCCACCAGTTGGATAGAGGCCCCGCGAAACTCGAAGGGAGAAGCATCTATCCCCATCCAGGGGGGTAAATCGGCCAGTGGGACCAAGGCCATTCAAATTTCGGCGAGCGTGGCCTCTTGCTGAAAGGGACGCGCGCCTGCCCCATCTCCCTCAGGAGGGAGAAACACGCAGACACGGGTGAACGTCGATTCCGTTGAAAATATAAGTAGATATGGGAAGTGGAGGGGAAGACGAAAGCCCAGAAAATATGGAGCACGTTGAGCATCCTGAGATTTGCGGCACGCGGCAGGTCGGGCAGGCGCGATCCCTCTCCATGGGTGGAAGCGGGTCCTGAGGGCAAGGGGCCCTGAGGCTTTTCGCTGCTCTCGGGCTCTCGGCGCCCTCCACGGGCCCCAGGAACTGTCAGGAAACGATCCAGGATGAAGAGCTCGTCCTGGGAGAAGGCCCTGGGTCCCGGGCCCGTTTCCCGCAGGACACGTTTCTTCCATGCTAAGTCCCGTCTCCTCGCGCTGGGGGGGGGCGGGGAAGAGGACAAGGGGGGGGGGGAAGGCGGGAAGAGGGGGATGCAGACGGGGAAGGGACGCGGGCGGCTCTTCCACCTCGTGAGGTGTCCTGCGCTCTGCGTCGTGCTGCCCGTTGTTCCTCCGCCTTCCCCTGTCTCTCATCATCCTTAGTTCCCTTCTTATCCCTCCTTGTCTTCACCTGCGCCCTCCTGCTCCACATCCACCTTCCTCCTTTTCAGGCTGCCGACTCTTCCTTCCTGGCGCCTCCATTTTCCTTTTCCCTCGTCGTCACCCTCGTTTTTCTTTCTCCTGCTGCCCCGTTTTCGTCCCTTGCCTGATTAGTTCCCCCCCGTCGCCGCCCCTCCTCTCCCCCTCCTACGCCATCCATCCTGCCCACTCCCACCTCCCCCCCCGTTCCTCCTCTCGCTCGTCCCGCCTCTTTCTCCGTCTTCCGCCTTTCCTTTTCCCCCTTCGTCCTTCGTCGTGCTGCCTCACGTCCGCCTTCGTCCTTCGTCGTCCTCCTTCGTCTCCTTCGTCCCTCTACTCGTCCTTCGTCGTCCTCTTCGTCCTTTTTCTCCTCCTTCGTCTCTCTTCGTCCTTCTCCTCGTCCTTCGTCTCCTTCTTCCTTCGTCGTCCTATTCGTCGCCGTTTTCCTTCGTCCTCCTTCGTCCTTCGTCGTCCTGCCTCACCCCCCGTCGTCCACCCTCGTCCCTCCTCGTCCTTCGTCCCTCCTCTGCCTTGACAAGCCCTTTCACAGCCTGGGGGCGCAGGCAGGCGCAACGCCGCTCGGCGCGTCCTCTTTCCTCGCGAGGCACGGGCGCCAGGGCCTCGTCCCAGCTCAGCCCAGGCTTCCTCCTTCCTCCTCCTCCTCCTCCTCTTCCCTCCGCCTCATCCTTCACTCATCCCCCTCTTCCTCATTCCCTCCTCCTCCTCCTCCTCCTCCTCCTCCTCCTCCTCCTGCTCCTCCTCCTCCTCCCCCCCGACTCTTCTTCCTCCTCCTCCTCCTCCTCCCCAATCTTCCTCCCCCTCCTCCCCCCCTCCTCCCCCTGTATCCACCCCTTCGCCCTCCTCCCCCTGCTCCACCCCTCCGCCCCCGCACCGCGCATTCGGCTCCTCGACCTGCCCCGGGGCGCGTCCTGGCCAAAGAGCAGCGAGGGGGCCTCCCGCCGCGGCGACCGGGCCTGCCCTCCGCGGGCCCACCGACCCGGTCGCCCGCAGGCGTCGGGGCGGGGGGGCGGCAGAGCTGTTCTTCTCCAGGGGGGGGGGCGACGCGCAGTCGCGAGGGCGCGATGGCAACCGCGCGTCGCGCAACGCGAGGAGCGCTGCGCAAAAGTAGGCTGCCCCCACACATATATATATATATATGTATATATATATGTAAGTAACTACATATTTGTATACACATACACCTGTGTGTACACATGTATATATACATGTTTATGTATGCATGTGTGCATGTGTGTATGGAAGCAGGGAGACACAAAGAGTCAAACATATATATATACACATGTATTTAGCGAGGGAGAGTGATAGAGAGAAAGAGACACCACTAGAGCGAAACAGAGAGAGCGTGAGCAAGGGAGGGAACGAGACAGCCGTATACAAGTTTTGGAAGACAGATAACTGAACAATCCAGGCACATGTAAACACTTAGACATACATATACGTGTATATATATGGCGAGAATGAGCGAGATACAGAAAGAGAGAGGGAGGTAGCGAGAGAGAAAAAGAGAGAGAGAGAGAGAGACAACGACCGAGATACAGATAAACAAAGACGACGAGAGAGGGAGGGAGTGATCGAGACAGATCTGATATTGCACGTGCATATGCATACACACATACACAGACATACTTACATCCATCCATCCGTACATGCATACATACGTACATGCATACATGCATACACCCATACGTACAAATACATCAATGCAGACACACACATGCGTACATGCATACATGCATGCATGCACACGCATAGTACATGCATACAGGCTCACATACTCATATTCAAAATTTGCATGCATCCATACATGTATATGTGCGCATAGGTATGCATCTATGCATGCCTGCATGCATGCATGTATGTATGTATGGGTAGATGCAGGACGTATGTCATGCACGCATGTCTACATGCATGCATACATGCATGCATGCATGTATGTGTGTGCAAATGTGTATGTATGTGTGTATGCATGCATGTACGTAAGTATGTATGTATGCATGCGTGTATGGTGTTATGCATGCATATATGTATGTATGCATGTATGCCTGCATGTATGTATGTATGCAACTGTGGATGCATTTATGTCTGCATACATGTATGTATGTATACATGCATATATGTATGCATTTCTGCATACATGCATGTAGGTATGTATGACTGTATGCATGCAGGTGAACATGTATGTGTGTATGCATTTATGTGTGTATGTGTGTATGTATGTTTGCATGTATGTATGTATGGATTGATGTATGCATGTATGTATGGATTGATTGATGTTTGTACACACACATATATATATATATAGGTATGCATGCATGCAGGCATGCAGGTGTGCATGTATGTATGTATGTCTGTCTGTCTGTCTGTCTGTCTGTCTGTCTGTATGTATGTATGTATGTATGTATGTATGTGCGTGTATGTATATACGCATGGAAGTATGATAATGTGTGTATGCATGTCTGCAGGCACGTACATACGTCTGTATGCGTGTATGCATGTATGTGTGTATGTAGGTGTATACGTATGCATGCATACATATGTACACATATATATATATATATATATGTAGATGGTCCAGGGCTTGGCACCCCCCCCCCACCAATGCTGATGCCATTGGGCCCCCCCCCGCGCGATGGTCCCCCCCGCCCCCCCCTGTGGGCGTGGCGTGGTGCTGCGCTGCGGTGCCCCCCCCCCCCCCCCTGTGGATGTGGTGTGGTGCTGTGGTGGTTCAGAGGTGGGCGTGGCGTGGTGCTGCGCTGCGGTGCCCCCCTCCCCCCCCCTGTGGATGTGGTGTGGTGCTGTGGTGGTTCAGAGGTCGAAGTCGTCGTCGTCGTCGTCCTCGTCGTCCTCGTCGTCCTCGTCGTCGTCGTCGTCATCGTCGTCGTCGTCGTCGTCGCCGTCGTCATCTTCGTCATCGTCGTCGTCGCCGCCGCCGCCGCCGGCGTCGTCGCCGCCGCAGCCGTCGTCGTCGTCGTCGTCGTGGTCGTCGTCGTCGTCGTCGCCGTCGTCGTAGTCGTCGTCGTCGTCGCCGTCGTCGTAGTCGTCGCCGTCGTCGTCGTCGTCGTCGTCGTCGTCGTCTTCGTCGTCGTCGTCGTTGTCTCTGGGACCATACCATCTGGGGGTGGGGGGGGGGGCCCGAGGAATCCTGGGACCATACCATCTGGGGGGGGGGCCCGTGGGCCTGGAGCCCAGGACCATACATAGTCATATGGCCCTTCGGCCCATCCCGCCACACTGCCTGGGTTATGGATTAGAGGCCTCTTAGATGTTCGCTTGGATTGCATGGGCTCGAGGGCCTCTTGGAGGCAATGTTGAAGATCTTGAGGGCCGTTTGGGGGCCTCTTGGGACCTCCGCTTGGGCATCTTGGGGGCCTCGTGGGGCCTTTACTGGGCCTCTTGGGTTGTCTTGGGGGCCTCGTTGGGCCTCCCTGGGGGCTTTTGGGGCGGAGGGCTCGAATTGTCGGTTCGTGTTCCCCCTCGTGGGCCCTTCTCCTGGGGCTGCATCCTGGGGCCCTATGGGGCGACCCTGGGCGCCCCCCTGGGCCGTTTTGGGGGCTCTCTTGGGCCGCCTTGGGGTCCTAGCTGGGCGATCTTGGGCGCCTCTTGCGCTGTTTTGGGTCCCTCGGTGGACCGCTCTGGGGCCCTATCGGGGGCTCTCTTGGGCCGCCTCGGGGTCCTACTGGGCGATCTTGGGCGCCTCTTGCGCTGTTTTGGGTCCCTCGTGGACCGCTCTGGGGCCCTATTGGGGGCCTCTTGTCGGGCCGGGCGAAAGGGGGGGATTGGGAAAGGGGGGGTTACGAAATTTGCTGCATGCAGCTGGTTTCGGCCTCACCGAGGGGCCCATTCCTCGATACATGGCCGCCTCCGGCGCCGAGAGGCGCCGGGAAAATCAGCTACGTGAGCTGATTCTCAACCCCCCCCTTTGCTATCCCCCCCTTTCGCCCGACCCGATCTTGGGCCGTCTTGGGGCGGTCTTTGGGGGCTTCTGGGGCCATTCCAGAGCGTCGGAAGGCCGAAAACGCGAGAACGCGGACAGCACAGACAACACACAAGGAAGATCAATGATGATTGCCTCTTTTTCCGTAGCCATTTTGGCTCAGAGTCGATTCAGTGCGATATTTTCGAAGGGCATTTGCCGCCAGTGCCCACCCGCTCAAGAAAGATGATTCGGAATAACCTCAAGATCATATGCAATGCCGAGGATACCTCAATCGAGGAGTACCAGGGTCGCTTTCGCTGCTTCACCATCTACGATTTTGTATTGGGGGCTCTGTATGGCGCCAAGGCACTTGGC